TCGCGGTGGAGCAGCCAGCAGGACTTCAACTCCGGAACTTGATCAAGATATCGCTCACATACCCAGAGACGCATCAGCACATACGTGATAGAAGTCAGATCAGGACTCCGCTCCGACCAAATATGCACATCCGATTGGCAGCTCCTTCCGCCTGAACTTGGTTTGCCGCACGTGGCGGCCCAGGAGCGCAACTCGGTTCATGCGTTTCTAGAGGCAGATAGCGTGGCTCGCTTCTGTCATTATCCTCACCTTGTGCTGCTTCAACACGCAGAAACTACGCGCCTGAACCTCCGAGAGGCAAGGTGTGGTGACTGGAAGCTTGCCTTTGTACTGTAGAGGGCTTTTACGGTGGAGCACTCCTGATAAATCTCATTTCCAATTCATTGATCGAAGCAGCATGGCTCTCTACAGCGCAACGCACCACCAGGACAAGGACACCCGTCGTGTCGCGGCGCTCGAAGCTCAACTCCGCATCTCGCACCCGTTCCGCCGCCCCACCACCACCAAGTCGGTACCAAAGCGACAACCAAGCCAGTGACACGCTCCACCACTTATGCCTCTGCGGTGTGCACTGCGACTCGCGCCAGCAACGCGCAGATCGCGTCGGATTTGGCACGCGACCACAAGATGGAAATCGAACGTCTGCAAGCCGCGCACCAAGCTGCTTTGGCGGCCGTGACCGAGAAGCTGCTGCCCACGACCACGTGCTGGAGCTTGCGCACCGCGTCCTTCGGCGCGACGACACGATTTCGGCGCTCCGTGAAAAGTTCGAGCACCGCGTTGCGCGCAAGAAGGCCGAAGTGCAGCACATCGCAATGCACTTGGTCGACGCCAACGCCACCATTGCCAAGAACAAGACTACGATTTTGCTGCTCCATACGGCGGTCAAGAGCCTCAAGAGTCTTGAGGCTCTTGACCAACGTATCTCGCTACACAACCTCCTGGGGAAGTGCAATCCCATCTGCGGCGTCCGTCAACTCGTAGGCGCCTTCTCCAACAACAACGACAAGGACAAGTCGTGTCAGACACATTGGTTG